CACTGCATCATCCCACAGAGACACTACTGTCACACTGCACGCATTACTTCGGCTCAACAGACCTCGTACTGATGAGCAAAGAGGGCCGGCATGTGTGGCCCGGCCGTCAGCCCTACCATTAAGTGTTGATTGCCCTTTATTAAGGGGGCAGTGTTGCTAAAACAAAGGCCTGCCCCGGTCAGCACACACTGGATTGTTGGAGCATGTGACTCGCGTTTGATCGGGGAGACGCTGAAGGCCTCGGCTGATCTCAACCCATGATGCTCCTTCAGAGCTGGGGCAGCCTCCAGGACTCTGCGGAGCATTTATACATTCCTCCCGAGGCGGAAACACAGCCCATTAGCATCACATGCAAACACAAGAGTGGTCTCCCACACCAGCTCCTTTTTAGCGCGGCAACATGGTACAGTTCAAACAATCCATGCGTTTCCTCAAAGTGCATGCAGGGAGCCTTGTCTGACATGCTTTGTGAAACACAAGATTTAACCCTTTCAATTCATCTTTTTAAACACTTCATCCATGACAATATACTGCACTAGGAAAGGAAAGGAAACATTACAGTCATTTACAGTACCGTAGCTTACTGTATCTCCTTATTGTGGCACCAGCCTCACCTAATGGGTGTCAAGAGTAGGCGAGATATATGTTGACTAGTATATCATCTGCTTACACCGAAAATAAAGTGTTATAAACAAATTCCAGTTGTTCTGAAGGAGACGTTGAAGTGATGTGTTCATGATTATGTCATCTTGGATGTCAGTGACAGCTACTTCCTTGGCATAGGATGATTAACACTGAAGCGATGCCAAGCAGCAGCATTCCTGTGCGGCTTGTTGCGACAGAGCGGCGAGGCTCTGGAGGCGTGGAGGAGTGGAGGAGGAAAGGTCCATCAGCGTGAAAGTGGGCAGGCTCCGCTCGCGGGCCCGGACTGGATGTTGCACAGCCTCCAGTAATTACAGGAGAGGGGTCAGGCTAGTTGCACAATGGGAGTGAAGAATTAGCTAACTACTGTCTGTCAGCCTCAATCAACTCGAACGCCTCTCACAAAAAGATGCGTGCGCCCGATGGCCGAGAGAGAGAGAGAGAGAGAGAGAGGGAGAGCTGAGAGTGGCCTGAACTGGCACACGCTGTTCATTAGAGAGGTGAGGAATCTGCAGCGACGCTCTGGCTGTTTTTTTCTGCTGCATGATCATCTGCTGTTGATATAAATGTTTATTCAAGCTTTGGTTTCCCTGAGAAGTGGACCGGGAACGCTTGGAGTTGACACACAAAGTGCACTTTCAACAAAAGATACAAAACACATGAGCACTAGAATACGTTTAGACATCTTGACACCATAACTAGCTGTCAAATGTGATCAAAGACAACAGCATACCACTCTTTAGCAAGGCCGTCAGTGTGGGAAAGTTTTAAAAGTGGAACTATGTAATGGCATAATTAATGGTTTATAAATCTTCTTCTCTTAAATACTTTATAAATATAAGCTTATAATACCTGTTAGGTGGCCAGGTTGTAAAAAAAAAAATCCTATCGGTTGATTGGATGTCCTCTCTGTTTAGTAATAATGCAGTTAGCTTAATGCTAACTCAAAAACCCTAAAGCTATGTCTATGCTCCAAGGCTCCTGTCTGCAGATTTAAGTGGTTTTTTTTCATCATTACTTCTTTAAAAGTGAACAAAAACAAGTTTAATTGCCGATGATCAGTTAGAGGCCTGAAATACATTCAGTCTTTAAAGGAGTTTAAATGTTTAAGTCGGCTGATATAAATCAGAGTCATTAACAGGGGGTTCTTGTGGTCAAATGTTCAGTTATAAATGTTTAACATGATTGACTAAAGGTGTTTGATCAGCTGTAAGTGTTGATAAGCTGTAAATAAATGGATTTTGATCCAGATCATCTGCAGCAGTCAAACAACAGTGCATATACAAATCCAGTAATTAAAAAGTTACAGTCATGCTGACTTTATGACTCATCTGTTACCAAAGAAAACATTCATGAATCAAAAAAAAGCCTTTTCTAAAGACCCTTTTGAGAAGTTTTAACTTTTTTTTTTTTTGATGGTGTCTTATCTGGGGTATAGACGTTCAGATGTCACATGTCTTCCTCCAGCTGTTGGATCGTTACGCTCTGCAGGTCAGACAGGGAGGACTCTGATATCTGCACTCACATCCCGACCAAAAGCACGAACACAAGGAGTTACTCATCAAAAAGTTTCTGGAGTTATGAAACTTCGAGCTGAATTCAGTCAGTCAGTGGGAGTAACAACGGGAGCGAAAAAACCGGAGGATGAGGACGGAGGCGGAGGCGGGATGATGCAGACAAAGCGTCGGGACAAACTCATTGATCAGCAGAGAAGGAGCGCTGTTCCTCCTCCCTCGCTCTCTCTTTGTTCAGCCCAGCTTCTGCTTTTCAACCAGATGCAATTTTGTGCTGTTTAGTAAGCCAGAGGAGGCTTCCTGATGACTCAAGGTGCAGAACCAGTCGCTCACGACAAAGTGGTTTATTGAATTCAGAGCACAAAGTCACGTCTCCAGCTCCCTCCTGTCAACTAGCAGACTTTTGTATCCTGACAGAAGGAGGTTAAGAGGAGTTGATACAAGATATTTTACATTCAGATGAGATATTCCATCTTTCCTAAAAACAAGTGTTGTTTTCAAAGAACTTTTATTTGCTTGTGAGTCTGCCCTCAGGGCTATTTCTAGTTTCATCAAGTAGAACTTAACACGTTTTATGATCTGTTTCCTTGCTGTTTACAGTGAAGTCTAACTGAAATTAAACTGCAGAACAGTCAGATTCAGTTGATTTAACGGGTTGAAATACAGCTCACACAGAAACCACAGCGGTTTTATGGGCTGCAAAAAACCATCAAAATGCTATATTTAACTCTATCTGAGAGCTTTAAGGCTTTGTTTTCACCACATCAAGTTGAGAGACACGTCTTTCTTTGCTTGTCAAACACATCACTGAAGCTCGGATTTCCTGCACACAACATGTCGACACCGCTGCCCTCCTGCATCAAGTTGATATGGTTCAACATCTGGATAAACAGCAGCTTAAGGAATGGATCAGTTTAATGGAGTGAAGAAGTTTGTTTCACGCACACGTCTCAGCCTGCACAACAATCGTCATCACACGCATAGCCATAGAAACATTATGACATCCCAACAACAAGAAACACTCCACATGATAGATAGTCAAACAGACTCTGAGAACAAAGTGAGGAAACTACAACTCATCAACATAAAGCAAGCAGAGGACTGCAACTGTTGACTCTTTTCATTGTTTCACCATTTTTTGTTTGACGATTGTCAGAGGTATAACGCGATATCTTCAAATGTTTTGATACTCAAATTCAAAGATATTCAAAGAAAATTGCAAGGTTGCAGCTTTGGATCCTTTGCGCACCAGAATTTGGAGACATTTTTTTTTTAAATGTGCTTAACATCAGAATTTATGAGCTGAAACGTTTGTTGAACGAATCGATTAAAGACCAACAAATCTTTGGCTCCTCTTTAGTTTACTTTATAATAACACTACAGGGCTAATTTGTCTCCACTTTGCTGTCAAATATCCATTTTTTATTAATTATCTTTCAGGTTTTTGATTAGAGCTGCAACAATTAAATTCAATCATTAATAAGTTTCCTGCTGCTACCTGATGCGTTTAGGTTATTCCTGAAAGAAGTCAAATCTACGGCTGCAGATTCTTTAATATGAAAACATTCTGCTTTACTTTTTTCATCTTTAACAGACTTTTGATATGTGGACAAAAAAGGGTTGTGAGGAAATCATTTTTAACTTTTGGAAACACCGATGAACAGTTTTCACAATTTTTCTGACATTACAGTGCAGATGAGTCATCGCTTTATCCAGAAAGTAATCAGCAGTACAAACCAATGAACATAGTCATTGGTGTGTACTGTAAGAAAGAAAACAGGACGCACAAATTACACAATGTGATCTACTAATGAACCTCTTTTGCCAGCCAGAACAAGAACACTGCTCCTCAAGGCAACTGAAGAACTTTGACTTACTTTACCTTCAAACATCAGTAAACACACTGGTTATGCATGCACACAAGTTGTCTATAAACTTCCTCAAAACCTAAGAAGCTCCTCTGCACATGGAGAACTTCTCATAAACAGCACATACACTCTGCTGTAACTCCAGCCAATAAGAGTTGACTTAAATGGGAAAACTAGGAGGTAATGACATCACATCACATTCCTTTTATAATGATGGATAATGAGTGACTGTTTTAGAGGCAGTGCTGTCCACCTTCAGATAAAACAAAGACTCTTTCCAAGAGTGTGAACACAGACTTCAGTGTTCAGCGGATTAGAAGAGGATGTGGTGGAGGTGTTGGGGGGGGGGGGGGGGTCAGCTAAGACACAACCTCATCATCCCAAACCCAGAGACCCATACAGACTCAGTCACCCCTAGGGGCGAAAACACAGACAGGATGTGGAGGCAGGGGCCTACCCTCACCCACAACATGAAATATTTAAACAATAAATCCCGTTTACCTAAAGACTCAGTTCAAATAAAGGACAACATCTGCAAAGCGGCAACAATCTTATCATTTGCATGATTATCCGGCTAATTCTCTTTGACTTAGACACCTGTCCATAAACACCTATATGACTGATCAAAACAACAACAACAAAAGATCCTTAGTCATTGTGTTGACACAGTGGCTCTTCATGTATTACATCCATGCACAAAGACGAAATCAAAAACATGCAAGGAGGGGAGTCCAGCCAGGCGTTGTTTACCAGGCCCCATGCACTGTCATGGTCATTGTGTGGCTGCAGGAAACACTAAGTTATTGTAAATATAACCTGCTGAGGGAAAGGTGAGCAGGACACACCTACATGCACGTCCTTTATTTACTGTTGCTCGACCGAAACTAGACAGGGCTGCACTGTGTAGTCTCCGGTATCGCCTGCAGAGAGGTGGATCTCTCTCGTTCTCTGAATAAACACACAGACACGGTCGTACCTTAGAAATTCTTGCAGACAGGTGTCACAGAAGCGATGTCCACAGGTAGAGACTTGGACGGGCTCCCGCATCGCCTTGCTGCAGAGCGGACACTGGAAGCGTCTCTTTGGCTTCTCCAGAAACTTGTAATCAAACCCGGGCATCGCTGCAGCTTCCGTCGTCAAGTCTTTTTTTTTTTTTAAGGTTAAAGGTACAAATGTCCTCTCTGATGTCTCCCCTCCCCCTGAAAACGGGGCTATTTATTAGCTGCACTGCCGTTTAAAGCCGATGATGGGTTCATATCACGTCCCTTCCTTCCGCCACCGACAGATCGGGATTTAATAAAGGAGACGCGTCCTCTCCCAGCTTCTCCTCCTGCAGCCCCGGAGACTGGCGGCAACAAAGGAGCGACTCAGTCCAGGAAACGCTGCAGATTATGGTTCCCAGATTCCTCCTCCTGACTCTCCTTCAGTGTGTGGTTGCAGGTTTACAGCTCAGAGGTTACGGAGGCCGTGCGTGGCCCTCTCCTCCTCGGTGGATGCAGTACTGACACACTAAGCACAATGCACAACCCCTCCGTCTGTTTAGGTGCTCCGAGTCCCGCCTCCCTCCCTCTGTGCAGGAGGAGTCAAGAAGCTGAGACGCTCACATTCACACCATGTTATCCCTCATTTCATCACTATTTATGGCTCTTTAACTGGGCGTTTTTAACCTTCTTTTGTCTGCGGAGGCCTGTAATGACATGCAGTGTTTGTTTTCCATGTCCAAAATGGATTATTATTATTATCAATATCATTTATTAAATAAACTAATACACAAATTGGTAATGATAATACCTGCAGTATGCACACAAAAAAACCGTCCTTATAATAAAATTAAAAAATGATAAAGGTTTTTTGTGAAGGTTTTTGTCAGAAAATGTCCTAAAAAAGAAGAATACAGTTCAGACAGAGGTGACAGGCGCCCTCTGGTGGTGAAACACCAAATTGAGAAATGTCATATTCCCTCAATGTGTTAAAATTTCCTCTTCATACATGATGAAAAAAATAAATAAAACCTGACCTACATTCTCTCACTAATGGATAAAAAAAAAAATACACATAGTGTTCTGACAGTATCAAAAAGACAACAAACACAAATACACACATGCTCACTCACAGATAATTTTTCACCTGCGCTGTTGCCATCAGATTACATCATCATTACATCATTACACAGGGAAACAATGGTAAACGATCCATGTCCCCAGACAAGGTGTGAGCACATCTTAATTAAGGAGTAATTACCAAAAAAAAGCATAGATAACAGAAAATGTGATGTTAGCTATTGAATGAAACCACCTGATATCAGCTCTGTGAAAATGACAGAATGATGTGAGAACAATGGGGGCAGAGAAAGATCAAACCTTTGAAGGTTATTTATTCACAATTCAGATGTTCATGTACAGCTTGGTCATGATAAATGTTTGTTTTTGCGTCTCTACATTCATCATCAGCCTCCAGGAGCGTCATGTCAATTCAATCTGAACATTCATCTCGTCACCACTGGTGTCTGTTGTAGGTTGAAGTAAAGCAGATCAAATGTGTAACAGACTCTCATAATCTGGAGAGTTAAGCATCTTCTTACTGAGCACTAACTTCAGTGAAACCATCATCTGACAGAAGATCAGATTTATCAAAGGACGTGTGACAGGTTACTACTGAAGGTCTAAATAAAACATGTTTCTATTTTGTAGCTTTGGTGATAGAGAAAAACGGACAACATTCAAGAAAATGTCCATATAAAAGTACATTCAATACAATAAATGATCAATGACATATAAGACGTCATTCCTACTCACCTGTTTGAGTACGTAGCTAAATGAAATACTTATAGGTCTTACAGAATATGCATCATTTAAATACTACTTCTCCATGACAGCAGTGAAATGTTATATTTTTTTACTTCACTGTATTTATCTGGAAGTTTGAACTATTAGTCATTTTGCAGTGTCTGATGATTAGAGCATCATATAAATAAAGAATACAATATAATGTATAGGATTACACCACTATGAAGTATTATGGTAGATTAGGCTAACAGAGAGTTTATAAAGTTCTTGAAATGAGTCCTTTGAGTGACACATTAATGCAGCCATGCTTGTAGGTGTAAATAAAAGACGTGCTTTCTGATTGGTCAATTCAGCCACATGTTTTTTTGGTACTTTTAATAAGATGATTATAACAATGTTGTAATTTTACTCAAGTCAAACTTTGAAAAGCAAAAGGCTTTTCTCATCATTAGGACAACATAAATATAAAGTTTATGCAAATATTATACAGCAAATATTATACACACTCCAATTAGTGAAATCACTAAATATTCCACAAATACAAATGTCGTGTCAGAAATGACTCACACTAATGAACCTGTGGTGAACCTATTTGTCCACCGTTGATGCTTTGTATGATTCTTACTATCAAAGGAGAATGAAGAGTGTGCATGGATGGCGGATGTAGTGCGGACAAATGACCTCCAATCGTTAGAGGACGCACATTTATCCACCCCGAGAAACATACACTTTTCTTTGATAATCCTATTATTTATGCTATCAAGGCAGTAAAGTCATCACAACACAGCGAATAAACTGTTTGATGCTCATCCTCTCAAAAGAAACCTACGCCCTATGTACACATACTTTCTCCAATAATGCAATGTGTCACGTTTAATATATGTCACAGAAGATGACTCATCTGACCTAAATCTTGATTTACTGCTGACTTCCAGAGGCTTCGACGGCATGTGGATAACAAATGGAGGGATTAGTGAGTGGCTGATTGTGGGAGTGATTTTAGACACACAAAAAAAAGGACCATTATTTTTTTTTAAACAGTGTTCAGTTGAGCTCTAAACAACAGACTTCATTTAGTTTTGACCTCGGCTGCTGAGTTACAAATGTTGGAGGACTAATCCAATAAAGTACAATGTGACCACTGACGATGTGATCAAGATTAACGTGTTTGCTTCATTTGACAGATGACTTACTAAACTGTCGAGTGGTTTTCCTTTCTTTGCATTGTATCATCTCATTCATCAGTGGCTTAGCACAGCTCCAACCTGTTTGACGTTTTCTGGCCTTTATCATGCTAAGTCTGCACGTGAGGGGGGACAATAGCTGCCCACATGAAAGCTGCCTAATGACAACTTCCTGTTAGCCTGCTTAAGTGTAAACATTCCTCTAACTCACCTGTTGGGAAATACACCTGCTGCAGTACACCTTTTTCATGAAATCAAATCCAATGAGTGAAAACAAACGTTGATTCCTGAAGAGAAATCATTTGCGAGGAACAGAGAGTGAACATGTGAGGCCACAGCTGCAGTGTGAAGGGGAATCTCAACACAGATGGGCCCCCGGCAGGAGTTATTCAGAGGAAGCTGTCCTTCACCTCAAGCCACCGCCGGACTTCATGACGTACACAAAGAGGGTTGTTTTTTTTTCAGGGTCAAATCATCTCGGGACAGGCTCCTCAAACAAAGCTGAAACAAGAGGGACAAATGGACTAAACGTCAGAAGAGCTGAAATGATTAATCCATTAGATCACAGAAAATGAAATGACCGACATTGTAATTAATGTTTGCATCTACACTCTGGACCATTGATGTATATAATAAGGAATATATATATAAATATCTAATAGGATTTGTCTCACTATTTCCTTTTCTATTTTATTTGACAAAACAGTTATGGGGATGTATCTGTGGATTATAGTCTCAGTTAATTGAATGTGTCTTTACATGACTTCTCTCTTGGTGGGACCAATAAATCAATTTTCCAGTAACGAGGCCAATAGAGCCTGATGCTTAATTAAATATCCACACAGGCTTGTGATGCTCTTTCGGCGGTACAAAACTGGGCCCCTAGCATGCCTCCTGGACGCCTCCCTATGGAGGTTTTCCGGGGACACCCAACTGGGAGGAGACCCCGGGGTAGACCAAGAGTTCGCTGAAGGGATTATATATCCCATCTGGCCAGGGAAACGCCTCGGAATCTCCCAGGAGGAGCTGGACAACATTGCTTGGGGAGAGGGAAGTCTGGGTTGACTTACTTTGTCTGCTGACAACGCAACCCGACCTCAGATAAGCAGAAGAAAACAGATGGATGGATGCTTAGATGTAAAAAACTGTTTTTGATTCTACATTCTTGAATAAAAACAAACTGTACATTAACATAAGTAATACTCTATGAAGTCATGTCCTTGTCCCCTGGTGCAAGTCCAGAGACTTTGAACAGCAGCCCTTCAGGCTGCGACGAGGATTACCACATTTCTGTTATTTAATAAATTGTGATGCAGTTTAATCTTCTCCAAATCTGCAGCTATTTTCATTTTAGAGTGTAGAGGGACACTTTAATCCCACCTTCACTCTTCTTTAGTTTTCATCAGGTGAGATGGTCACTATCGGCAGAGAGAGGAACACATAGCTGAAAAACAACAGCCTACGTTAAAAGATGGGCGTAATTTCATTTTTGGCCTGCAGTAGATTTATTTTCTGAAGTGAAGAGTATGAAAGTAAAGTATGAAACTAACAAATGAGTCCTTTCATAATATTGCATAGACAGACATGCTGCCCTGTCCATGTTATCAGGAGACACTTGTCTGAAGTTTGGCCTGTTTGTCATCCGGGGATAAATCTTCTCTCATTCACCACATCCCAACATCTCACACTGTTTTTTTACCAAAAGGCTAATGAGCAAAGTATTACGTTTCACTGCAAGCAGAGTGTTGCCATGACAACAAGCCACCGATGTCGCCGTGAACGGGTGACTCTCATCGAGCTGCACCGTCTTTGGGATCCCAGAGTCCTCCTCTTTTCTTCCAAGACGTCCGCGGGCCCCCTTTCCCCAGGTGTACACCTCCCCGTCTGTGCAGAGAAGACAGTCATTATTTCTACAAATCCACGGCTCAAACCTCAGGATGGATTAATCCACACAAATCTTTCACTGACAGCTCTGACTTTCCTGCAGTGGGAGAAAAATGGCTCAATCTGAAGGGAGTCAAAGCTGAACAAAGACTTCCCTCAACAAAGAGAACCTGCAGGCATTACTGCCGCTGCTGGCTTTCTCCCCGGGGAGCCAATCCCTCGCACAGTGTGACATTTTACCATTTAACCCTCAGCTTCAAGAACAAAACACACACTTAACAGGCTCCACACTAACTTTTAAATGGTTGCCAGGCTGGAAACGAAGAATCTGCGTTTTGTTGCTGAAACTCAAAATATGAGATGGTTGTCATGTCCTCTTAGCTTATATGTAGAGCCTAATGACACCGTCAATGTGCAGAACGTTTGATGTGACATCAAATATTTAAAAAGCTTTGGAACGGTAACAACACATTTCTTTGTTAAACAAAAAAGCAGAATATACACTTCAGCCGATGAACATTGCAAGCAGAAGTTTGATGTAAGGTTATACGTTCACTTTCCCTAAATATCTGCTTTTCAATACACCAGGAGCAGTTAACCTAGAAGACCTGGCAATGAGTTTTACATTCTTGATTTATTTAAGTATGACTGCATTGAAATTTGCTTTAAAGATC